ATAAGAACATAAAGTCCGCCGAGAACCTGTTTTATACGCAATAACTCTCCTCATGCCGCTGTGCTAAAAATAGTGACATGTAATAATAACATGTAATAAATACTAATAAAACAAACAGGGCGGGGCACTTTGAGAGGGGTGAGAGAGGTCCTAGGGAGTTTTGGTATAAAATTACATTGCATAAGCTCAAAATCTTCTTGAAATATCGCCCGGAAATGATAGTGTTACACACAGACAGAATGTATAAATACGACCTTGAACTTTGACCTTTTGACCTCAAAATCAATAGGGGTCTTCATTAGGCCACAGGGAGTTGCTATGTAAAATTTCATTGCAACAGCTCAAATGGTTCTAGAGATATCGTGTGGAAACGAAAATGTTACAACAGACAGAACTTGCTTATTTATGACCTTGACCTTTGACTTTTTGACCTCAAAATCAATAGGGTTCTTCTTTAGTCCATAGGGAGTTGCTATGCTAAATATCATTGCAAAAGCTCAAAGGGTTCTCGAGATATCGTGTGGAAACGAAAGCATTACAGACAGACAAAAAGACGGACGGACGGACAAATCCAAATTAATTAAAGTTCAAGGTCGTTAATTTATACATTCTGTCTGTGTGTAACACTATCATTTCGGTGATATTTCAAAGAGATGTTGAGCTTATGCAATGTAATTTTATACCAAACTCCCAGGACCTCTCCCGCCCCTCTCTCAAAGTGCCCCGCCCCGTTTGTTTTATTAGTATTTAGCAACAGATAGTATTACATGTCGCTATTTTTACCGCAGGGGCATGAGGAGAGTTATTGCGTATAGAACAGATTATCAGGCAAACTATGTTCTTATTACATCTGTAGAACTGTTTAATAAAGGCTAAATAAATCAAACACCATGGATTGCGTAAAATTTTAAGAATACCGAACATGAATATATACATGTATGTGACTTCAGTTCTGCATATACTTCTTCTGTAAAAAGCGATTCCGTGGTCTAGTGGTAGTGTACTCTATTCACATTTGAGAGGTCCTGGGATCGACTCTCGGTCGATCCTTTCTTTTTTTTAAATATTTTTCTTTTTTTTTGTTTACTAAATGATAGTATTCAGCATGTGAAATGAAAAATTTATGAGGTCATAAAATCATTATTACAGTGTGATAAATATTCCATGTAAAAAGAATCTTCTATACGCACAATAAAGAATAAGCAATCAAATCTTTATATGCATATTGACATACATGTATTTTATTTGCTTCAGTATACTTGTATACATTTAATAATTCTACAAATTCAGTCAGGGGGATCCGACTTTTTCCCTAAGCGGGGGACACGAATTCTCTGAATTAGCTTGTTAATACCAATTTGGGGCCCATTAGGGCATACAAGTAAAGGGAAAAGCTAGAAATTCAAAATTGATTGTGACAACTAACAAATAGTTTATATAGAGAAAATGCATAAATTCTTTGAAATTTTTCTTCTCTGCTCATGGGCATTAAATAACCCAACCAAGTGCATAGTTAAGTTGAATATGGCTGCATGTTTCAAAACTGTGAATCTCATGGCCCCAGGGTTAGGGGTTCTAGGGGTTCTAGTGCTAGGGCGGGACTATATAGTTTATATAGTGAAAATGCATAAATTCTTTTAAATTCTTCTTCTCTCCTCATGGGCGTTAAATAAACTAATTAAGTGTATATAGTTATGTTGAATAAGGCTGCCTCTTCCAAAATTGAATTTCATGGCCCCAGGGTCAGGGGTTCTAGTGCTAGGGCAGGGCTATATAGATTATATAGTGAAATGAATTATTTCTCTAAAAATCTTTTTTTTTCTGCGCCTGGGTATTAAATCAATGAACTATGTACATAGTTATGAGGAGAAAGGATGCCTTTTTAAGATTTGTGAATTTCATGGCCCCTGTGTCAGGGCTTCTTGCGTTAGGGTGGGGTTAATGTTTATATAATGAAAATGCATGAATTCTTTGAAAATCTTTTCGTTTGCCCCTGGGTATTATGCCAATGATCTAAGTACATATCTATGATGAAGAAAGCTGCCTCTTTCAAACTGGTTAATTTCCGGGCTCCTGTGTCAGAGGTATTAAAAGGGGGAGGGTACATAGTCTGAAAATAAATTAATGCTTTGAAATCTGCACCTTCATATCAATCAACAATTTATGATGAAATAAAATCCATGATCAAATTTCCAAAATTTTGAAATATGTGGCCCCAGGGTCAGTGATTTCTTTGGGGTGAGGTCACAAGTGGTTATAGAGTGGAAATGCATTTTCTCTTTGTTACTCTGATCTACCTCTGGGTATTTTAGTAACCAAAGTAAGCATGTTAAGTGTATAATTATGATAATCAATGGTGCCTCTTTCAAAATTGTGAAATTAGTGGCCTCTGGTTTAAAACACGAATCAAATTCAATAGACCCCTTTCTTATAACATATTTGCCTAGGAGTTATTCCCCTTAGCCGCCACTGGAAAGTTGTTACGGATACTCAGTGACCTATAAGGCCCATGGGCCTCTCGTTTTATAAATGTAGCAATAAGTGACAATTAATTGTTAATGTATGTCGTTAATGCATTTACACTAAAAAAATGAAAATTCCGCTGGAAAAAAGCTCAGTACATTGTTCATAAAGGATGTTTCAAGACACGATTAGGCAATATCATAAATTTCATGAAAGAGTCAACATACTACTATTTCAAATCACGTTATGAGAATGGCAGATTCATTTTAGAGTTATCTCCCATTATAGATTTTTTTCATCCAAATAACTTTTCAAATATCAAGAAGAACAAAATTTCTTATTTTTAATACTAATAAATAACAACTAATTTTATAATATATAAAATAAACATTTTTTTTAAAAAATAAGAAGGTATCTTTTTGTTTAAATCCAAAAATTTAAAATTGTAGTAAAACTCATTTAAAATTATTTGGATTTAATAAATTTAGAACAATCAAATTATAAAGCTTGACATGACCATCAAATGGTTAATATGAGTGAAAAATTCAGTTTTTGTAGCTGGGTAACACACCCAGCAATTCTATAAATAGAGAAGGAAACGGGGGGATGAAATGCAGTTACTCATCGAAATCACAAGTACAGGGGGACGGGACCTCTCTCCCCCCCCCCTTACAGTGTTCCGTACTCCAAGGGTCCTTTTACTTTTTTAATTAAAAAAATTTTCTCTGACATAATCACAAAGTATTTCTACTAAAGAATCCAATATTTAAGCTAAAACTAGCCTTTTCTAAAAATCCGTACCCTCTGATACAAATAAGTAACGTCAAGTGCCTGTGGACTATACCAACAAATAAGTGGGTGGATGATCCCCTCCGAACGGCATGTTCCCCCTCCCCCGCGTTCTACTGTTTTTGCAATACTCAATTCAATCATTTTTTTTTCCTATTGGTTAGTTTTCTCTTTCCATATATAGGAAGGTAGTTGTAGTTTTTAGAGTTACTTCCCATTACAAATTATTTTATTCAAAGTAATATTAAAATATTTTTCATTGATTCAACTTCGTTAAATAAAATGATAACAATTAATTGCCTACTTATTAAGTAAATAAAAAGATTACAAAAAATTTGAAATATTCTTCTTACTTGATTCTGTATTTGAATTTTAAGTAAAAATCATTAAAACTTATTTAAAACTGATTTATTCTGCCACTGGAGAAATCAGTATTATTAGTAAGCATCCTAAATAGTGTAGATTCATTCTTTGAGCGTGTGCCGGGGTAAGACCCAGGCATGAAATGTGAAGTTGTTGGATAGGAGGTGGGTCGCAGCGTTCGGTGCAGTATGATGAAACTGCGCTCAAGCAATTAAAATAATTCATTAAGTTTCCTTCGTTGTTTAAACTTCAAGCTCAATATCAGAGTTACTCTTGAATTCTTGACTGCTCAAGAAATTTTATAAAGGTAGTAGTGGATGGATAACCCTGCCGTTCCAATCTATCCAATATACATATCCTAGTACCTTGATTACATATTTACTACCTCATACTCTTACATAGTAACTATATCAAATTATGAAAAAACATATATTTAATGCATAACATGACATGTACATGTATATATAATTATATATGCACACAAAGTCCATCTGAATTTAGTAATTTTTGTTCCTTCGAAATATGACAAAGGATCAACATCTTGACACACCATCTAGTAAGCAATATATCAATTTATTCCCATTTAAAGTTTGTAAGAAATCTGGTAGCACAACCGCTAGAATAAACCTGACTTTTAGAAAATAGCCTTGTAAAGTGACTTGCATTCCTCAAAATTCAAGTTAAATGAAAGCAAAGTAAATGTTTAAGATCATTACAAGGTTTAATTTAAAATGAAACTGAGAAATCCATCACACTTTACCTTCTGACACAGGGGTACAAAAAAATCAATAAAGACTTGTTAAATGTTTATTTATTAAGTTTTTCCTGATATTTTTACTTAATTCAGCCAAGGACAGCTTTGGACATTCCAGAGCCAAAGAAAGTTACAGATTTATCATTAACTTTAAACTGCATGCTTTTTGAGCTGTTTTTTCTGAGACAATTTCTTCTCTTGACTTCGATCTGAAAAAGAATAGTGTCAGTGTCAAATACATCCATTTAATAGAAATCATTTGATGCAATAAAAATGTCTTTAAGTTAAATTTCCAAAACATAGACTTATAAACTCATTGTAATGTGAAGAACTATAGATTTTTTTCTTCTTTTTTCTTTGCTATTTCATTGTCAATTTAAGTTAGACACTGGCCAAAAAAAAAAAATAAATGAAAGGAAAGAAAATTTAACTGAAGACTCTTAGGAAATTTAACAGTTACTCTAAGTTATCTGTGTGTGAATAGCTTTTATTGAGATATCTGGAGTTAAACCACAGAAACTGCATATTTATGCTTTTCATAATCTATTTATAGATTAGCTTCTTTGGTTTATACTGATTTTGCCAACCAAAATATTCCTCACTCTTCAAAAGTTCTCATTTACAGACCAATTTAAGAGGTATTTGTAACAGGATTTTAGATGGGGTCACGTGACCCCGTCTATTAGTTTATATTTCGAGACGCCTCAAAACCGAAGCCATGGTGATAACACATGAATTAAATCTATGCTATACGAAGAGTTGCAGAAATTGTTTTGATCAAAATATTAAACATTCTATATCAAACTGAAAAGAAAAATACAATTAATTTTTTTTCTATTTAACTCAAACTAGTAAAGCATTTTGAACATTTATAACTAAAAATATTAATTGTAAATCACACTAGTAAACAAAGTATCCTGCGTATGCATCACCCATTGTTTACATCTGGAAAAGTATTAATTTGTACCTGGTGAAATTCGGACAGTTCAAAAAGGTTTCCAGACATAGCAATTATTAAAATTTCTACATCGACAAATTAAATCAAAAACCTTAATTTATATCATACACGGTTTTGATTTTAGTATGTTAATAAAAAATTTAGTTGTTTTTCAAACTCGTAAAAAAAATCACATTTGTGAAATCTAGCATGAAGATTATTTTGACCCCATCTTTGAGTACTGTCTCAGTACTTTGATTTTGCTTATCATTCCACACTTCTAAACAGAAACAAGTTGGCAAATTGAATAATGAAGCACTAGCAAACACCCCTGGCCTCATCTCTGTAATATAAACCCTACATCCTACACTCTCCATGCAGATATTCTCCAAATTTGAACTTCTGTGTTCATGAAAATCAGCCCAGTTATATACTTTATTGTATGATCTTTCTTTGGTCTGTTTCAAAAGTGTGAGCATTTTAAAATATCTGTTTAATTGTTTTGCACCAAAAACATAATCTCTTTAATACCTTGCCATGTACATCTTTACAATATCCACTATCAAGACCAGATATATGAACATCTAGGTTGCTCATGTGCAAAAGTGTCTTCCAAACAAGCTTTGCTTCTTCATCTTCCTCCGTACTGATAAACATAACTAGAGTACCCCTGCAATCTGACTTTGGGGATGAAATTAGCTGACATAGATACTGAATAAATGCACTGATCTCTTTAACTTGGTATCCAAGGCTGAGTAAAACATTCAAGCTATCAACAATCACAACTGGTGGCTGGCCCTGTTTATTCTGTAGTTCTGAATAGTTAGCTTTGATCATCTCATAGATTCCCTGCAAAGAATCTAAACTGTTCACACAATCATCAGTATGTATATCCAGAAATCGATTCCCAAAGGCCTTCATCACGTCACAGAACTTTAGGTTAGATGATTCAATTTTTTGTGCTAAATTTATTCCAAGTTTTTGACAAACTGATTTGTGGTGACCGTAGGACTGTGTAAGTGATACAAAGCAAACATTTCTGTCAACATTGCTGCTGAGGAAAAACGAAAGGAAGTGATGGAGTAGAAATGTTCCATCAGCAGACGACTCAGATAAAGTTATCACATCTCCATACAACTTGTCATCCTTTGAAATATCGAGCACATTGTTTACTTCATCCATGATTTTTATACCCGCACTTTCTAAAGAAAGTTCGGGTATATTGTTGTTACTCATGTCCGTCCGTCCGTCCGTCCGTCCGTCCGTCCGTCCGTCTGTCACACTTTTCTTCCCTGAACTCCTCCTACATTTTACACAGTAGCTTAGTCAGCTTTTAAGAGATGGTTGGTGGTGTCATGTAGATGTGCAGTAAGGTTTCGGAATTTCGATTTTGCCCCTGGGGGTCAAATGGGGGTCGAAAAATGACGTTTTTTGTGCAAAAAGTCCCGTCTTCCCTGAACTCCTTCTACATTTTACTCAGCAGCCTAATCACCTTTTGGGGGATGATTGGTGGTGTCATGTAGATGTGCAGTAAGGTTTCGGAATTTTGATTTTGCCCCGGGGGATCAAATGGGGGTCGAAAAATGACGTTTTTTATGCAAAAAGCCCCATCTTCCCTGAACTCCTCTTACATTTTACTTAGCAGCCTAATCATCTTTTGTGGGATAATTAGTGGTGTCATGTAGATGTGCAGTAAGGTTTCGGAATTTTGATTTTGCCCCAGGGGGTCAAATGGTGGTCGAAAAATGACGTTTTTTAGTAAAAAGCCCCATCTTCCCTGAACTCCTCTTACATTTTACTTAGCAGCCTAATCATCTTTTGTGGGATAATTAGTTGTGTCATGTAGATGTGCAGTAAGGTTTCGGAATTTTAATTTTGCCCCGGGGGGTCAAATGGGGGTAGAAAAATAACGTTTTTTACGTAAAAAGCCCCATCTTCCCTGAACTCCTCTTACATTTTACTTAGCAGCCTAATCATCTTTTGTGGGATAATTAGTGGTGTCATGTAGATGTGCAGTAAGGTTTCGGAATTTTGATTTTGCCCCAGGGGGTCAAATGGGGGTCGAAAAATGACGTTTTTTGTGCAAAAAGTCCCGTCTTCCCTGAACTCCTTCAACATTTTACTCAGCAGCCTAATCACCTTTTGGGGGATGATTGGTGGTGTCATGTAGATGTGCAGTAAGGTTTTGGAATTTTGATTTTGCCCCGGGGGGTCAAATGGGGGTCGAAAAATGACGTTTTTTGTGCAAAAAGTCCCGTCTTCCCTGAACTCCTTCTACATTTTACTCAGCAGCCTAATCATCTTTTGGGAGATGGTTGGTGGTGTCAGGTAGATGTGCAGTAAGGTTTCGAAATTTTGCTTTTGCCCCGGGGGGTCAAATGGGGGTTGAAAAATAACGTTTTTATTTATACAAAAAGCCCCGTTTTCCCTAAACTCCTCTTACATTTTACTCAGCAGCCTAATCATCTTTTAGGAGATGGTTGGTGGGGTCATGTAGATGTGCAGTAAGGTTTCGGAATTTTGATTTTGCCCCAGGGGGTCAAATGGGGGTCGAAAAATGATGTTTTTTATGCTAAAAGACCTGTCTTCTCTGAACTCCTCTTTCATTTTACTCAGCAGCTTCATCACCTTTTGGTGGATGGTTGGTGGTGTCATGTACATGTGCAGTAAGGTTTCTGAATTAAGATTTTGCCCCAGGGGATCAAATGGGGGTCGAAAAATAACGTTTTTCATACAAAGAGCCCTGTTTTCCCTGAACTCCTCTTACAATTTACTCGGAGATGGTTGGTGGGGTCATGTAGATGTGCAGTAATGTTTTGGAATTTAGATTTTGCCCTGGGGGGTCAAATGTGGGTCGAAAAATGACGTTTTTTGTGCAAAAAGCCCTGTCTTCCTTGAAGTCTTCCTTATTGTTATACCTTTAGAAATTTGTTCCTATACAATTCTATACGAAAAAAAGTCTAACATTTTTAATGTTTTGCTGAGCGGGCATAAAAAAATCGATGTTGGACCGCTGAGTGAGATGTTGGACCGCTCGGAGAGATGTTGGACCGCTTACGTCACAGAGTGGGCGGAGCTTAATCTCATTTTCATTCGCTGGTGTTAAACAGTGATAGATCTGGTGTTACATCACGGAATAAAGTACAAAAATAAATAAAATAAAATGAAAGGTATAACAAAACATTTATTGACAGAGTTCTCGGGCAAAATGCGTTTTGTCGAACCCTCGAACCAAACTGTCTGCCTTCGGCCTAACGGCCTAAGGCAGACAGTTTGGTTCTTGGGTCCGACAAAACGCATGTTGCCCTCGAACTCAGTCAATAAATGTATAATGTTACTCAGAAGCCTAATCATCTTTTAGGAGAGTTAAATATTTTGAAAATTATGTAAAACATCAACGTCAAGGGGTAACAAGATGTGGTTGTGAAACACTATGCGCGCGGCGTCAACAAAGTTCGGAAAAGCTATTTTTAGCATATAGGTCACAGTCAAGGTCACAAGGTCATTGACCTTGGTGTTGTTTGTAAGAACTTAATTAGTGGGGTATGCATACTAAATATGAAGTCCCTATTTCCTATGGTTCAAAAGTTATGGCAAAAAGTAGAAAAAGCTATTTTTAGTATATAGGTCACAGTCAAGGTCATTGACCTTGGTGTTGTTTGAAAGAACTTTATTAGTGGAGTATGCATACTAAATATGAAGTCCCTATCTCTTATGGTTCAAAAGTTATGGCAAAAAGTGGAAAAAGCTATTTTTAGCATATAGGTCACAGTCAAGGTCACAAGGTCATTGACCTTGATGTCATTTGAAGGAACTTTATTAGTGCAGTATGCATACCAAATATGAAGTCCCTATCTCCTATGGTTCAAAGGTTATGGCAAAAAGTGGAAAAAGCTATTTTTAGTATAAAGGTCACAGTCAAGGTCACATGATCATTGACCTTGGTGTTGTTTGAAAGAACCTTTTTAATGGAGTATGCATACCAAATATGAAGTCCCTATCTCCTATGGTTCAAAAGTTATAACAAACAGTTGAAAAACCTATTTTTAGCATATAGGTCACAGTCAAGGTCACGAGGTCATTGACCCTGATGGCATTTGAAAGAACTTTATTAGAGGAGTATGCATACTAATTATGAAGTGTCTATTACTTATGGTTCAAAAGTTAAGACAAACAGTTGAAAAACCTATTTTTAGCATATAGGTCACAGTCAAGGTCACAAGGTCATTGACCTTGATGTCATTTGAAAGAACTTTATTAGAAGAGTATGCATACCAAATATGAAGTCTCTATCTCTTACGATTCAAAAGTTTTGGCCAAGGTTAAAGTTGACAACAGACAAACAGATAAACAGACAGACAGACAGGACAAAAACAATATGCGCCCCGAAAAAAATTCGGGCGCATAAAAAAACATCGCATGCTGGGAAACACCTTGAATTCTTATGAGTAATTTATGTACATGTCAAATGTGAGAGTCATATCTCATCTTAATCAAAAGTTATAAGCAAATGCAACATTTTTGAAAAGTAGGTTAGGCTTGATCACTTCAAGGTCAAGGTCACAGTATAAAAGTCATGATTTATTTGGAAAGGTCTTATCACAGGTAATAATATACATGCATTATGATATGAATGCCCTAACTTTTCTCTTTCAAAATGATGAATTTATAACAATTTAATTTTTTTGCAAGTTGGTCAAACTTCTAGGTCACATGTAAAAAAAAAACCTTGCCATTCTCACAGGTAAATATACTTGTCTAGTACATAAGTTTAATATGAATGTCTCTTCTCATTCAGTAGATATGACCGTGATAACCAAGGTTAAATTTATTGAGACAGATGGACTGAGTCTGACATACAAATGTACATATTTCTATATGAATTGGGTAAAATTGGCCCAGTGGTTCTAGAGAAGTTAAAAATGTAAAAAGTTTTCAGACAAACAGATGGACAACACGTCACGACAGACATTATATGCTAAGGAAACCAAAAAAGCTCAAATGAGTGTTTTGAAAGGGTTACAATATGGTTGGAGTATTTGAAAAGCTGTTTTTTTTCCTGCAGAGATATGCATGACCAACATATTCATGTTTTATATTTTCTTTAGTGATTTGTTTGTTTGTTGTGAATACATCTTCCCTCATATGGAGACACCACCAAATAATAATGAAGATAAGATGTGTTTGTGAAACACTGATGTCCCAGTATGGAAGCCTATGGCGAAGGTTGAAGTTTCTCAAATATATGTCAAAATCAAAGGTCAAGGTCAAAGGGTTCAAATTGTTAGTATCAGAAGAAAGTCTTGTCACAAGAAATGCACATGTGAAATAAAGAAATCCCTAGTAATTCCTGTTCAAAAGTTAATTGCCAAGGTTAATTTTTTTGTTTAAGTGGTTCAAACTCTAGGGTCAAGGTCAAACATATTTATACCTGTTGACAGTTCACAATGAATACAATATGTCATGATAAGTATGAAAGCCCTAGCACCTACTGATCAAAATTTAGGCAGAGTTTAAAGTTTGGTATTTTTCTTGTAAAAATGTGTATCCCATGTCAAGCGATCAGAGGTAAAAATTAATGGTACCCAAATAAAAGTTCTTATTAAATTGTCACAAGAAATAAACCTATAAAATGTGGAAGCTATTTGTATAGCCCATCCCACTTAAAACTTATGGGCAAGCTAGCTAGGATTTAATTTCTGCAGACTTATAGACAGACATACTATAAACACAAGAAACAAAATATGTATAATAATTAGTCAAATGGAAAAAAAATATACTATTTAACTGGAATCACAAAATACATTGTTATTTCAGGGACAGGAAGTGGGTAGGAAGATTGGAATCCCCCCTCCATCCCCCCATCTGGCATTTGCTTTGTTATTTAAACAAGACTATATACTGTAGCAAGTAAAAAATGACTCCTGACATCCACTCCCTATATAAACTTAGAAAACATTGACCTCACTATCATTGTTTTTTTATTTGTTTATTTGTTTTCATTTCTTTTCTCCTGCTTGTCACGAAATTCTGGGCTGGAATTTTTTGACTGAGATGTGAACCCCCCTCCCTACTCCCGAAAAAAATTCTGGATCCGCACCAGTATTGGCAGTAACTGAATGTCACATCGACAACGGGAGATAACTTCACAATATGAAATTCGTCTAGTGTTGCATGATCCTTTTTAAACTTTAACCTAATCGTTTGGGTGTATTTTACCCCCCACTATACTAAAACTTCTACTTACCGATCCTTGTGTCTTCATGAAATATAAATCCAATTATAACACAAAATGAATTAATCCAATGCACACCAGACTGCAGCCGCGTGCCATTTGGGCGAACCTTCGTCGATTCCATCACCTTATCAGATGAAGTGGGAATCGGCCGAGGTGTGCCAAATGGTGTTTAATCTATAAATATGATAATGGGTGACGCAACGTGATGTGATGTAGAAATTTACATGTTCACATGTATAGTACAAGAACAAATTTTAAATTAATTCATAACAAACGATATTAAATTTTAACAAACCTTTTCCATCTAGCCTATTCCAAAAAGTATGTGCGGTGTGATTGTGGTGTCGAGGGGGGGGGGGGGTTTAGTAAATTTAAAAAGGTCCTATTATGAGCAAAACATATATCAAAATCTAATTTCAGACGCGGATCCAGAAATTTTTTCCGGGGGGGGTCCACCTCAGTAAAAAAAAAAATCTTATCCGAGAAATTGACAATCAAAATTAAAAAACTTAAAGTGAATCTCACCCAAACGTCAAAAACCTATATCGTGGGGGGGGGGGGGGGGGGGGGTAGTGATGACTTCTATTGCCGCAAATGTTTAACTTTTCATACCTATTTAACACATATTCGTGTTTAACAGGGGGGGATCTGCATTTTCCAAGGGGGGTCCACTGTAAGTTTTTCCTTGTTTTAGTATATACATTTTTTAACCTTGTAAATTCCAGGGGGGGGGGGGGGTCCTGACACCCCCCCCCCCCCCAGCAGATCCGTGCATGAATTTACATCATTAATAAAATTCAGTCTGGTATATAATGAATTAAGCATGTATAAAATAAATATAAGAGGTTCTGAGTTATAGGTCACAGGGTCTGAGAATTTCATACTCAATTTGATGAATACATGTAAATTATAGAATTATTTTGACTATTTCTTTGGAAAGCCGCCCAATATGTAGGAGCGTGTATTTAGAGGCAAACACCTTAGTGCGGGTATTACTGTCTCATGACAGCATCTAGTTTTTTCTACTTTCACTTTTTCAATACAATATCGAACCCGAACTGATTGGATGTAAAGGACGCGACGCGCCTATTATTTAATTGCGATTGATCATCTTAAATATTTTCTTTTAACTTTGAATCAAAATTCTAAGAATAACTTTAATAAAAATCAATACTTTTGTTTTCTATTCAAGTTTAGTTCTTCTAATGCGAATCGTTCCACAGCTTTCCAACTGTACGATTGCGGTGAATAGCCTGATCTTTACTTCAAATTTTAAATGACAAAACGCAAGAATAGAAATTAATAATAAAATGAAAACAAAGGATTTAAAAATATAAAATCTGCATCAAAGTTTTAAGCAATTTTATTTGTGCTAAATATACGAAATTATTTTTTTGAAAAAAAGTATATTTTATTTTTTCGTTTTCTTAAAAAAAAATAATAATATGTGCATTGCGAGCGCGTACTTTGAAACGAAAAAGATATGGGTAAGGAAGAATTCTTTATTTTACCATAATGCAAGTGATTTAGACTATTTCAGAAGCATTCTTTTCACAAAGCTAACATTTGTTTTGCTGAAATTAATGTTATATGAAAAGGAGTTTGCTCAGCTCGCCTTCATGTAGGTGTTTTGTTTTTGTAAACAACTTTGTATCCGGATTGGCTCTACCAGAGACATAAATAAAATATTTATGTCTCAGGTTCTACCTATTCCGAATATATTGAAGTCAACTTAAGTAGCTTTATCGTTTTATTTTCGTAAAAAGCATGAAAGTACAGAAACATCATTCACTGTGTTCACTGTATTATGTATGGGCTGATGGTGTAAAAAACAAGCTATACTCTCCAATTTTTTTTTAATGAATGTTTTTTATGAAGGTTTCCTCCTGATTCCTTGTTCACTCTGAGTGGTTTCGCCCTATTACTTGTCTGCATTGAGTGGATTTGCCCAAATTGGGCCTATATGGCCTAATCAATGTCTGCTTGTCGGGTGGTCGTTTGATCAGTAGATGAATGAATGATGATTGATGAGCAGCTTAATAAAAATTAAAGATGGAAGGCTGCCCTTGTTTGTGCTTTTTACACAGACTCAGGACCCCTTGACTTTGAGAAAAGAGGGAAGGGCAACACTTTCCACATACGTTCTTGAATCCATATTGGATTCGAGTTTACTAAAATATTACAGTTTACCATTTAAAGAATTGTTAAGAATTACTGAAGACAAAGTATATGATTATAAGCATATTTATATATTGCAGAGAAAACTCAATATTCCTTTCCACTGCTCCCTGCTGATCAGCTAGTTCAGGATCTTAACATCATAGCAGATTTACCTCTGGAGGAGAAGGACTTCAAACAACCAAACGTAAGAAATAGGAACATACACAATCTGTTATACTGGTGCTTGTATTTCTGTTTATCTGCACATAAATGCCAACATCAGGACTTGCTCATATTTTATAGGTTAATTTATTATTTATATTAGGTTGTTTAAAAAAAAAATTAAGGTCAAGATCTAGTAAATGACTCTAGACTAATTTTTTGGTGCTAGATCCATTATGACGTCATAATCAATTTCAACTTTCTTTTTCCTGTACTTTATGACTTTAGCACAATTACCGTTATGTAGAAAAAAGGGTATTTTCATGGCATTCAATTTGAAATCATATGAAAAGTTATCCCGATACTAGGGCTGTCACGGTTAATCGAAAACTCGGTTAACCGCTCCGAAATGGTATTCGGTTCGGTTCGAGTCAGGTTTTCCGGAATTCGGTTCGGTTTTTTTTTTATATCTTTTATATAATACTAATTTGCTTGCAACACGCGTTGTGATTGGTTGTTTGGTTCAATGAAGGGTTCTTTAACCAATGAAAATACAGGTAACATCGAAGACATTTAAACATGGCATACACATGTGGAAGGAAAACCAAATCACAAGTAATTGTTTTGTCAACCACGTCCCCTACTTTCAAAAACGTGAAGTATTACCACACTTGTGATTTGATGATAACTCTAGTCAATAACTATATTTATTTTATTTTATACAAGAAGTTATTACTTTGTTATTTTTTGTTACGTTTAACAACATGTTCTGTTGAATAAAATGGATAGAAATTTGTGTCAGCAAAATAGTACTTTCTACAATGTCCTTAATCCTTATTATCCTTTGATATATATAAAAATGTTTTATTTAAATTCTCAAAATGAAAACCGAACCGAAAAAACCGAAAACCGATAATTTATTTTCTGAACCGAACCGAACCGAAAAATGTCTGAACCGTGGCAGCCCTACCCGATACCTATATCAAATTTGATATTATTGTAAAGGAGAGGCCATGAACATACAAATTACCGTTTTCTGAGAGACTCTAGGCAATCTGGATACATTTCCTTTGTCGAATATGAAAAAAACGCCCATATTCATAACTAGTTTTCTTAAGTGTCCCCCGCTTGAAAAGTGAGGGATATTAATTTGGGTCTGTCCCTCCGTCCGTCTTTCTGTCTGTCTGTAAATCTTTTTTTCGCTGTCAGTCATTTGGACCGACTGCCATGTGAAGTTTGTCAGTCCAGACAGATTTCTATCAGTCCAAAATAAATTCAATAAAACATGAAAAAAAAATTGTATTTAAATTTTATTATCAATAAACACGGCGTCTATATAAACACTGCACACTTCTTACCCTAGCGCCGTCAACAAACTTGTTTTAACAGTTTACCAATAGTTTGGCACAAGTTATAATAATCTGTGTCTCGGAACAAGTCCTCATAACAGTTATTCTCGCAATGTAGCAATTAATTAAGAATTGCTCCGAAACGAATTTGAAGTATACAAAAGGATATGCACTGGAAATAACTTCAAAATTAATTACAACAAACCTTTTTTAGGTCGCGTATGTCTTTAAACCTACCGGTAAATTATGATCCAAATAAAGACGATAATTCAACTAATTTTCTTTACGTTTTTTCTCGCTTCAAATTTACACGCCATGTTTCTGGAATCTTCGTAGTAAATGTACTGAGTTCGAGTTATTGCCCGTGTTTATTTTGCGACATAGTGAATATACGGAACAAATTGTATTAATAAACCGGGTCCGTAGGACATTTTTCATTTTAACGATAGAACATTGTCTCTAAATTCGCACTTGCATTAATCGATAAGCCATTACAACATGCAGAAAAAGAGTTTGAAAGATTACGATCGGTGGAATATAGGGAATTTGTACGAAATTTAGTAAGATTTTCGCAAGTTCCTCTGTCAACACTGTCCGGTCATTTGGACTGACACAGAACGGGAAAGTAATCGGTCCTTGGTTGTTTTTAGCTCACCTCAATGAAGTTGGGGGGAGCTTATGTGATACCCTCGGCGTCGGCGTCGGCGTCCCGGGTTAAGGTTAAGTTTTTTGGAGCAGTTTTCTTTTTAAGTACTTCTATGTCCTATATTGATTAGACATGCATGGAAGATGTTTCTAGTGTGTTTCATTGTACCAGTCAAAGTTTCAGATGCTGCAATTTCAGCAAAGGAATGACCAGGTTAATGTTTTTGGAGCAGGTTAACATTTTTGGTGCAGTTTTTGGTGTAGGTCTCATTTCCGAGTAACTATAAGCCCTATAATGACCAAACTTGCATGGATTGTACATCTGAGGATTCATACTACCAGACTTGCTTCGGATGCTGAATATGACCTACATTTTCCGGTTGAGTGAACAGGTTAAAGTTTTTGGAGCAGGTTTCATTTCGAAGATACTACGAGCCCTATAATGACCAAACTTGCATGCATGGTACATCTTAGGGTGCATTCTACTAGACTTGGATCGGATGCTGAATCTGACCTACATTTTCCGGTTGAGTGATCAGGTTAAAGTTTTTGGTGCAGGTTTCATTTCCAAGTTACTATGAGACATATAATGACCAAACTTGTATGGATGGTACATCTAAGGATGCATACTACCAGTCTTGCTTCAGATGCTGAATCTGACCTACATTTTCCGGTTGAGTGAACAGGTTAAAGTTTTTGGTGCAGGTTTCATTTCCAAGATATTATGAGCCCTATAATGACCAAACTTGCATGGATGGTACATCATAAGATGCATACTACCAGACTTGCTTCGGATGCTGAATCTGACCTACATTTTCTGGACGAGTAAACAGGTTAAAGTTTATGGTGCAGGATTCATTTCCAAGTAACTTTGAGCTCTATAATGACCAAACTTGCATGGATGGTACATCTAAGGGTGCATTCTACTAGGCTGGCTTCAGAAGCTGAATCTGACCTACATTTTCAGGATTAGTGAAAAGGTTAGTTTTTTTTATACAGGTTTTATTTCCAAGTAACTTTGAGCTCTATGTTGAACAAAATTGCATGGATAATACATCTTAGGGTGCACACTAATGGACTTGCTTTAGATGCTGAATTTGACATACATTTCCCAGATAATAGACCTCGTAAAAGTTATGGGTGCAGGTCTATCACGAAGAAACTATAAGGCTTATATAAACCAAAGTTGCACAAATGATGCATCAAGGGATGAAAACTCTCAATCTTGCTTCAGATGCTGGATTTTAATTACATTTTCATGATGAAGAACAAGTTTGAAGTTTTATAGATCTATTCCAAAGTATCAAAATCAAAATTGCATAAATTTTGCATTTTTGGATGTACACTTTTTGTTGGTTAATTGTGTGACTTAATTTGCCTTACTTAAAGACAACATTCGTTGAGGTGAGCTCTGTAATCTCTGATTACTCTATGTTTATCGGTTTTGCCGGTTCAAGAACTCTGTGTAACGCTTTTGTTTCCACACGATATCTCGAGAACCCTTTGAGCTTTCGCAATGAAACTCCCTATGGACTACAGAAGAACTATATTGATTTTGAGGTCAAAAGGTCAAAGGTCAAGGTCATAAATTCGCAAATTCTGTCTTTTATAACACTTCCGTTTCCGCACGATATCTCGAGAACTCTTTGAGCTTTTGCAATGAAATTTTACATAACAACTCCCTGTGGCCGAAGAAAGACCCCTATTGATTTTGAGGTCAAAAGGTCAAAGTTCAAGGTCATAAATTTATACATTTTTAGCTCACCTGAGCCGAAGGCTCAAGTGAGCTTTTCTGATCACATTTTGTCCGGCGTCCGTCTGTCTGTCTGTCTGTCTGTCCGTCTGTCTTTCCGTAAACTTTTCACATTTTCGACTTCTTCTCAAGAACCGCTGGGCCAATTTCAACCAAACTTGCCACAAAGCATCCTTGGGTGAAGGAAATTCAAGTTTGTTAAAATGAAGGGCCAGGCCCTCATTCAAGGGGAGATAATTGGGAATTAATGAAAATTTGGTGGTATGTTTTAAAAATCTTCTTCTCAAGAACCACTGTGCCAGGAAAGATGAAACTTATGGGGAAACATCCTCAGGCAGTGTAGATTCAAATTTGTTCAAATCATGACCCCAGGGGGTAGGGCGGGGCCACAATGGCCGACCAAAGTTTTACATAGAAATATATAGGAAAATTCTTTAAAAATCTTCTTCTCAAGAATGACAAAGCCATGATTGATCATATTTATATGGAAGCATCCTCAGGTAGTGTAGATTCAAGTTTGTTCAAATCATGACCCCCGGGGGTAGGGCGGGGCCACAATGGCCGACCAAAGTTTTACATAGAAATATATAGGAAAATTCTTTAAAAATCTTCTTCTCAAGAATAACAAAGCCATAATTGATCATATTTATATGGAAGCATCCTCAGGTAATGTAGATTCAAGTTTATTCAAATCATGACCCCTGGGGGTAGGGGGGGGCACAATGGCCAATCAAAGTTTTACATAGGCATATATAGGAAAATTTTTTAAAAATCATCTTCTCAAGAATTGCAAAGCCATTGCTCATGGGACTACTTTTGGATTTAAACTTTTCAATAATAAACCAATTTCTACTTTTTCCTAGCCACAGTGCTCAGGTGAGCGATGTGGCCCATGGGCCTCTTGTTTCTGTATGAAACACTATCATTTCCGGGCGATATTTCAAGAAGATTTTGAGCTTTTGCAATGAAATTTTATATCAAAACTCCCTAGGACCTCTCTCACCCCTCTCAAAGTGTCCCGCTCTGTTTGTTTTATTAGTATTTACTGTATTACATGTCGCTGTTTTTAGCACAGGGACATGAGGAGAGTTATTACGTATAAAACAGGTCCTCGGTGGACTTTATATTCTTATTACATCTATTAGAACTGTTTAATAAAGGTTAAATTAGAAATCATGCTTTGTGTAAAATTTTGACAATATCGAACATGAATATATACATGTATGTGACTTCATGTTTGCATATAATTTTCGCTAACGCTTCACATGTGAGAGGGCCCAAGTTCACATCCCGGGCGATCAATTTTTTTTTTTCGAAATACTTTTTTTTTTTTACTAAATGATAGTATTCATGTGAACTGAAAAAATTATGAGGTCTGGCTTGTACAAACTCATAAAATTATCATTACAGTGTGATAAATATTTCCTATCAAAAGAATCTTCTATACACATAATAAAGAATAAGCAATCAAACCTTTATATCCATATTGGCATATTTTATTTGCTTCAGTATACATGTATACATTTAATAATTCTACAAATTCAGTCAAGGGAATCCAACCCCCCCCCCCCCTTCCCCCCGAACTGCACATGGTTTACTTTTTACCTAAGCGGGGGACACAAATTCTCTGAATTAGCTTGTTTTTCATTGAAAATGACAGTTTAAAATGTGGTTTTTCATCTTGTTACCTACAAATTATGCCCGGAAACACCTTATTTGCCCAAGCTAAAGTTGTAAAGCTTCATAAAGGAATTTATCTCTCAAATTTGATAAATCTGTAGGCATCTTTCATTTACTAGATTTTGACCTTAAGACAGAATTTTAACTTGCAAACAGTCAGCATTGCAACCAATTTTAATGTATGTAGATTATTTCACAGTTGTTTAATTGTTAAATTAGTAGCTGCAAAGGAAGTACAAATTGTTGAACTGCAAATAAAAGTTGATTTACCACAGTACATGCACTAAATAAATGAAGAAAATGCTACGATTGCTTGTGATTTTTTGATTTTTGACAGAGTCAGAGGTGGCAGAAGATATATTGCCGTTTGGTTGAAGTTCTGTCAGGTGTGTCATTTGAGAGTATTATACAGGTAAGTTAACAAGCCATGACAAAAATACTAATAAACTTTTAAAATGAATATTAAATCTTCTTTAATAATTTTAATGTTCAAAGATGGTTTATTTATTGCTATATATTCAGTATAATGCATAAGCTTTTGTAACTATTGTAAACCAGTGAAGTGATTATGAATTTGAAATGTTAATTGATTAATTTTTTTTGTAGCAAGTTTTGTATGTCAAAGATGAGATGGAGTTTCCAGAATTGTACGAAGAAGCCACTGAAATTGTCCTACTTTCTCTTACATTGTATGTCTACCTTTACTTTGGCATAATAAATGTTAATGATATCTTCAGACTTGAATGGTGTTCACATTGCCTTTTTTTTTTGGCAATATTAGTTGCAAATGGCATTTGCCATGCTTTCAACTATTTTTTAATATTTTCTTTTCTTTGAATGTAATAGAAAAAGAATGCTGTCGTCTTGTGGAATTGCTGATTTCTCTCTGAAGGACGTCAAAGAACCATGTAAGGATCTTCTAACTATAATTATTCTGATTGGAATATTTGTATCTCATTAAGAGAAAATTTGATTGTCTATATTACCCAAGTAATTTTAAATATCTCATCATGTTTCAGCCCCAAACAGAGTTCTAAAGATCATGTGTGCTATCGCCAATTTTATAAAATTCCAAAAAGGAAGGATTCAGGTGTACCAGGACTTGAAGGAGGAAAATGTGAGTGACAGGAACGGTGAATGGGAAGGCAAAAAATGGTCAATGGGACTAGAGCACAAATGTCAACATTTTTAATGGGCCATTTTGAAAATGAGTGGGGCCATCAATTTGATCTTAGGGGCCATTTTAAGAAATAAGAAAATGACAAACAAATATGACATACAAAAGAAAACATGTTTTTAATTATGGGTTACCCAAACTGATTTATAGCATATGATATGCAGCAAATTTAAAGGAACTTGCATAGAATTTGATCTAACTGTATTTTGTGTTAAAATTTGGAAAGAGCACCACCTTACCCTACAAATGAATGAAGTAATGTACCTAATGTAAGTGTTTCATTTAACTAGAAGCAGTTTTTATAGGTTCAACCAATGAGATTTGTTGTTTTAAAATTGACTGCATTCAAAATGAAAGTAAAACAAGTAAGAAAGTCATACACAAATATTTCCAAATAACATCGCTAAAAATTGAATGCGCACTGTGGCACCACAATTGATTGATTCAATGCACCATTTTTCACTTCAATGCGACTATTGTGCGTGGCGCAAGCCCTTCCCAATCACTGCAAGAACAAGAGAATGGATTCAACTACAATTTTCACTTAAAAGCTTCAAGATTGATTATTAAAGTTGCAGTCAAATTTTCTGCAGTATCGAACTTTTCTTTAGCATTTAACAACTTTACATTCTATTATTTTTCTTATTTCAGGACAGATTTCGGGATCAATTTGATCACATGATCCAGAAACGAGACAGAATCAAAGCAAAGATTCAGGAACTAAAAGCTGAAAAACCAAAAAATGACCCAGAATTTGCCAAGGTAGGTGCAAGGTATCTTGTACAAATGCAAGTACTGCTCAAATAATTAAGTTTCTTAATCATGATTTGAGCATAAAGATAATCAAGGGTCTTGGGTGCATTTCGTTCATTAAAATTGACTTTAAAGGTTAAGTATTCTTTGCATAAACATGTGAAAACAAAATCAAAAAGATTTATTAGTAATCAAAATATCAAATAAGTTAATTTGCAGCATATGAGCATTTCTAAATACAAAAGCTGATAGACATCGCTTTAAAATTTACATTTTATTCTTTTTAACTTCCCATAATGTTACAGTAAAACTTGCTTAGTACGAACACGGATATTGCGAATTCACAGTTATAGAGAAGTCCTCAGCAGTATAAATTTAATGAATTTCTTACACGGTTATAAGGAATTAAAGATATAGTGAAGTAATTTCATAGGTCCTAGCGACATAGTTATAACCGAGTTTTGCCTTATGTGTGTGAATTCTACTTTATGAGACATCAATGTGTTTTGATTTTTTAAGAACCGATTTGTTTTATAATAGATCCAAGAACAGCTGGATATTCTGAATGACGGATTACAGGAACGACTCAAAAAACAAGCTGTGAAACAGAAGGCTGCCACCGAGGTCAAGGCCAGGCTAGCGGAAAAAGTAGCCAATAGGGTACAGCTTATTTTGTTTCAATAGTTTTACCTGCATTTAAATGAACAACACTGAAATATTATGATTACAGTAAATAGTATATAACTTTAAAATAAATGATATACTGTATAATCCCCATTTGCCGCCCCTGCCCCTATAAGCGCCCCCTTAGGTTTTTTTTAATTGTCAGGAAATAAGGGCCCCCTGTACAGTTATTAAAATCAACTAGAACCGTATCAAAAAATTGGATAAATTGAAAATAAAACTCGTCTTTTATCCAATTTCTCAGTGGAAAATGAACAATTTAGCCTAATTTGGGTGGATTATCCTCACGTTAAGAAAAGCTAGAAATTATACTGACACGCAACAAAGAGTAATCTACAAATGTTTGATTTTTTCATCTTATGATTTTGAAAAGCGAATAAGTAAGGTTTAACTCAGAGATTTGATGAAAATGTTAAATGTTTATCTGTTTACTTTACTAAGTAAAATATGACTGTTAAAACACCCCCTCCCAGCAATTCAAGTAAAACGTGCAAGACTGCCCCAACAACAATTGCAGCTTAATTTCTATGATACAATAGGTTCATTAAGGGGATGAAGGATGTATGGTCACGTGACTCAGTTGATTTACGTCATAATCTCTGATAAAATATGTACAAAACGAGATTGAAACCACAGTACTTGTATAATTTTTTTGACTGTTTGTTTGAGTTCACCAACTAGTATAAAAATATCTGAAAACATTCAAAATTTCTTGCAAATATTATCAAATTACGGAATAGATTAATCCACTCTGCCGTTTCCCTACTCTGCGCGTTCAGTGCGTCTTTGATGTCATAGTGGATCTCTTAGTTCAGTAAGATCATACAAGGTAAAAACGGGTAGTATAAAATCATAAAAACAGGCCATAATATGTACATGGTAGGGTATTTTGAAAATTTCAGAACGCAAAAAATATTTTTACATGGTTGTTGACGGAAAAGTTCTGTGGGTTTGTCTTATTTCGCTTATTTCAGGAATGTGTGACGTCATAGTTGGGTTTTCCCGTACTTGAGAAATGTAAACATGACATGTTTTTCTCATGATCATGACTCGTTTAACTTTGCCACGTGCAATATTGAGCTCAGCTTCACCAATCGATATTTTTACAGTTAATCAATAGGATTTTTTGCAAATTGATTTTTTTATGGTTTAAGTTGTCCTAAAAAAGTCGTAAATTTTTGTCTCCAGATGTGGTGTTACAAAAGAATCTTGCTTTTTCGAATTTTTCACCCTATTCATACTCTAAAATATTTTAAAAGACACATTTCCGCAGGTATATTTTTTATCTATGGTGAAAAATTTCAATTATCGACCGAGTAATGGACCCAGAAACACGGAGAATAAAAACTCCGCTCAGACACTGTGGGGTATGGTATTTGTCACTCAATATCTCAGAAATAAGTCTAGAAACCTATTGATATGTCTGCTTTATAGTATGTAGGACATACTAAATAAGATATATACAAAATATGAAAAAAATTAAATGACAGGTATTTTTTCAGCTAAAGGCCCTTCATCCCCTTAATATCAAGATCTGAGCAGAGGAATTATTCTTTGGCGTTTTTAAATGCCCATTTTCAGTTGATTAGGTCGAATTTTCTCTAATTTAGAGCAGTGTAGCCACCCTTGGACTTCCGGTACAAGGACTGTCCTTAATGCATATGATACATAAGACCCTGTTGAGGCGTACTGTAATGAAATTTCACATCAGCAACTCTCCATCACCTTTACATTGTAATTTTCCAGCTAGAGCAATGGAAATCAGATGCGTACATAAGCCATTTTCAAGTAGCCTTAGCATTGTTACGAGAAACAAAAGGAGAGTTTATTTTTTTAGCTCTACAGGTCAGAGACCAGAAGAGCTTATGCGATAGTAATGCGTCTGGCGCCCGCCCGTCTGTCTGTCTAGCTGTCTGTCCGTCTGTCTGTAAACAATTTTTCAAAATGTTACTCTTCCTACAGTTTTGGTCTGATTTCAATATAACTTGGCACACGAGTAGTCGAGTAGACTACACTAAGATCCATAATGCTGTGTATCGGTTTTGGGTTTCGATGAACTGTGTTGCCGTGGTTAATAAAAATAGAAATTTCTGTGAAATTCTTTCAAAATACTACTACTCCTACAGTTTTGGTCTGATTTCAATATAACTTGGCACACAAGCAGACTACAGTAAGATACAGTAATTCTTTATATCGGTTTTGGATTTTGATGAACGGTGTTGCCGTTGTTACTAAAAATAGAAATTTCTGTGAAATTCTTTCAAAATGCTACGTCTCTTACAGTTTTGGCCTGATTTCAATATAATTGGCACACAATACTACACTAAGATACACAATTCTGTATATCAGTTTTTGACTTTGATGAACATTATTGCCTTGGTTACCAAAAATAGAAATTTCTGTTAAAAACTCTCAAAATGCTACTTCAAATACATGCAGTTTTAGTCTGATTATAATATAATATGACATGCAAGTAGACTTCACTAAGAACATAGAGACTTAATCAAGGATCATAAATCTATTTATTGCTGTGGTAAAGTTTCAATTCCCAATTGCTTAAGTACTTTTCTCTTCCTTTGCTATAAGTACAAACCAGAAGAGCTTCAGTCTCGACAGAGACTTCTGGTTTCAAAGTGTGTTAGATTGGTCCCAAATTTAACACACTTTGAAAATGTTTTTCAAATTGCATAATTTTTCAAAGTGCATTGTAACATTATGCTTCTTCTAATTTTGTGAATTTCATGGGTGTTAGGGCAAGGCTCTAATGATCATAAAGTATGCATGAACACTTTGAAAATCTTTTCCATTACTCTTTCGAAAATCTTTTCCATTTCTCCTGGGTAATATGCCAATGATCTTAGTATATATATTTTATGATGAAGAAAGGTGCATCTAGCAAAATGGTTAATTTCATGCCTCCTGGGTCAGGGGTATAGTCTGAAAATAGATTAATGGTATGAAATCTGCTCTGTGATATTAATCAAATAAAATTTATGATAAAAATAATTTTAAAATATGTGGCCCCAGGGTCAGAGGTTCCTGTGGGGTGGGGTGCACAAATGGTTATAAAGTTGAAATGCATTTTCTCTATTTTACTCTGATCTAACTCTGGGTATTAAGTAACTAGAGTATGCATGCTAAGTGTATAATTATGATAAGCAATGGTGCCTCTTTCATTTTATTATAATACATGTAATAAAACAGACAGAAAAGAAAATATGAAATCAGAAGAGGATATGTAAATGTTAATTTCTATCAGGTGAACTCCTACAAATATCACCTGATATTTAATTAATTAAGGGAATCCATTGTAAAACTCTCTGTATTCTCATTTCTGTAGTTGTTTGTATTTTGTTGTGTGGTTCTTGTCTTAGAGATTGTTGATATGAGTATAAAGCAGCCTGCAGGTCCCCTGTCACCTGTTGACAAATCCCCAGAATTTGCCATGATATGTCTCTGTAATCTGTACGTATAAGCTGTCCCTGATCATAGTGAACTAGGGTCTGTAGATCATCTAGAGCTGTTTGTACTCGCATTGTGTCTACATGTCTGCAGCACAAGATCTCTAGCATGTATAACAGGATAAAGGGTGGTACAAATAATAAAGTTTCGTGGTTCTGTAGAGCAGACTGTTGTTCAGGTATCAGTTCACTGAAGTATAACTGGATTCTATTGTAAAGTTTGATATCCCATGCTACAGCTTGTCTCATCTTTGTAGACCAGGACTGTCCCCCTACAGCCTCAGTATACATCTCTGTATCTATAATAAAGTGATACATCGCATATGGCTGTGCTAACATGACCTTGATCATCTCTATAATAGATAAAGCTTCCGTGTATCTAAGCGTCTTGTAATAATACATGGCTATGTACAGCATGTCTGTAATACAACCAAATCTGGCAGCTAATTTCAACATTTGACAGGACATTTTGTCAGCTCTATAACTCAGTTTGTTTTCATGTGTGTAAGTTTCCATGTGTAATATAAAAGCAGTGCTCTGAAGGACAGTAGCAGTAAGTTTCTGTAGCATAATGACTTGATACTGTGTCAGGAGGGGTGAACCTATCATCTGTTCTATTGTATGTAGATATCTCATGTAGATTTGTATGTCCAATTCATCTGGTTTTATGTAATGATCTATTATTTCAAAAAATAGATTTCTGTCAAAATGAGCCTCAGAAATCCGAGTATGATAATCTGTACAGATGGAGTTTCTGGGGTTATAGGGGACATCTATAATATAAGATCTAATGGAGGGACTGTGTAGCAGGAATGCTAAACCCTTCTCATACAACTCTAACAGTCTTAGAAATAATTGATGTTGTTTGATGCCATGAATTTTACTCAGAAACATGTTGTTGCCTGGAATGAAAAAGTTAGGACAGCCCCCCTCATATACCCATTTGATGATGAGTTTAAAACAGACCCAGAAACACTCCAGTAGATTTTGTGGACACCAGTGAGGTATTGTATTTTGTTGAATCACCCAGAAAACTGACGTCTTCATGTGATAGGAACACAGTAATTTATCATCATCACCTACTCCATTGTTAATTATTTCTCTTAAGATCAATTTAAGCAAGCCATAAGTTAAGAATTGACAGTGATTCATTATATACACAAGTTTTTTTTCTGCTTGGGAGAAAGAAATTCTCCATTCATGATCTTCATGATTTCCTAGCTTATGTCCAATTGCTACAAAGTGACATCCATTTTTCACTATATCATCAACAACATGAGGCTGGGGCCATGAGTGACATCTGTCTATCCAAGAGGAGGCAGACGGAGGCCAAAAGTCACTAACAAAACAGGAGGCATGATCAAATTCTTGTGCTCGAAATGTTAGACTGGCACAGGGTCCATGTTGAGTAAGGTTATAAGATAGTGATAACGCAGGTAAAAAGATCTGTCTGTATTTAGAACTAGATATATAATATCTGTTATTCATTCTAACACACATACTCTGGATGTATTTGTCCATGCTTGGTGACAGTAAATT